AAATGAGGGAGACATATTGTCCAAATACGGATGCACAGTCTGCTTTTTAGCGCATTTTCTCATTTATGGAAAAAATGCACTATTGTGCTCGCCATGTCCGTCTGTCTGTCTGTCCGTCCGTCCGTCCGTCCGTGACCTCAAGTTTTCGTCGACGAGAAAATGTGCTCTCTGTCACTCACTGCAGTGAGTACTGAGTTATATTTTTGGTGGGTCATCCTTACCCAGTTTTGCCGGGTACAAAGGAAGCATCTTAATTAGACATCTAATGTTTTGTGGTAAAATGACTGTTGATGTATTCATACAAATCGCAAATGTTAGGTGTTCGGATTCGAGCGTTGATTATTTCCAATCTTAGTCAAATGATTTCTTTGAAGTTAAGCTAGGTTATAATTTCAAGCATCAACAAGGCAGAGCTTTTTCCTTCTCTTTTTCAATAATAAGGTTGACCATCAATATGATGAATATTATCATTATATGACAGTTTTTTCTGTATTTTAATCATGCTTAAATTGCCAGTTAATCGTGACAATACCAGTATTTTTTTGTTGTATTTCGTCCGCATATAATGGATATTACGTTGAAAAATTATGAGAATTCGTAATACAAATATGTTCAAAGTCCGTGCGTGATTCGTTTCAGTTATGGGAAGCAAATAATTTATTTACTGCCGAACAGTCTTTTATATAGAAGTTAAAAACACTGTTTAATCTGTACATTAGCAATAATAATCTTTTCTACGCTCCTCGCATCCTAAATCGAACAACTTGAACTTTTTTTACTATGTTAACATAAAACTCTAAAAATGTTTATCGGTCCCCGGAACATTGCACTGCTTGACCTAATGACCGATGGGAATTAGCCGGCATTTTTTTTTTTAATTTCAATGACTCAAAAATTTTAGAATCATTACATATATAAAGAGCAGAAACCTGTCCCAAAAATCCCATATTATTTAAAGATTTGCATTTTGTTGCATTATTCTGTAATAATACCATTTTATTGAAAATGGGATCAGACATAATCATCAGAGCAGACCTCAATTTGGTATTTTCTATCACTGCTTGTTTCTTCTTTTAAAGTTTGATTTTCAATCGTCCACGTGCAATTCTTTGTACAATTAATTGAAACTCGTGTTCTTGAAATGATGATACAGCAGGTCTTGGGAAATTTTCATTAAAACATACTATATTATCTGGAGAGTTTTCATGCAATTAATTTCTTACGTAATTTGTGATGATTCAAGCTGATAATTTGCATTAAAAAAGCTTGATACAGAAAAAAAGGAAAATTTAATATCATAAACGTTTCAGGCACACGAAAGCTCCAAAAATTTGTTTCTTTGCATAATTTTGAATAAATTATTAGAACAAACTTTCAACTTCGACACGTATGGTTTGCCGTTAATATGAAATAGCTGTTGAGTGCGTGACAGGTGGCACTGATGTATTTCTTTCCATCTGTGATGGCCGTTGGTCTTACGTCTTCCAGGAAGAATAATTATACAAATTGATGAAGATAAAATTTACAATACTGAATGAACAATACATTTATCAGGTTTTGAAATACTGGAAAATCATGCAACATTGAACAAATTTGTTGATGTATAAATGCAGAAAGATCCTCTAGATCTGTTTATCACGAATTTTTTTAAAGTACTTCAAAATTTGCGATAGTTGTGGGATCAGATTTTTGCTCGTTAACATTTTTTCTGTAGACAAATTTGAATTCTTAGACGAATTCGAATGCCTTTTTGAATATATATATAGCCTACCTATACTGTTACTATATAAATGAGCACGATAAAAGCGATGAAATTATAGCTATGTTAGCACCACAAAACCTATCAGCTATGCACCGCACCTAGCCAGGAACTTCAGCTGTCAACGGCGTGCTATGAATGGAAGATATCAGAGAACATTTTCAAACTCAAATTTCTTCCCACTAATTCTGCAGTCAGATGTCGATATAAAAATAGCCGACACCTATGATAATGAATGTAAATTTCAAGAATTTGTGCATGTCTTTAAAAAATCGATATCGTTATGTAAGAAATGACCATCTGTTAGAAGCTCGGATTGCTCATCAATATTTTTAGTTGCTTTCTAAAAATTGCATACATTCCAAGACATAATACGCAAATATTGTCAATTTTATTGCTCACAACTCAAAGAAAATTTGGCGATAGGCATGGATTACATCGATCGCGTTGATAGTACGCAACTGCCGTCAGTTGATCTCAAGTAAATACGGTAATACAAATGCGTAAGAAAATCATTAAATGAATTCCTAGCAAAGCCTGCCAAATGCGTTGCGTGACCAGAAAGTGCGATGTCCAATTCGTACGACTACCGTAAACACTGGATGTTTAATCGTGCAGCGGATCGTAGATACATGTAATGTATCTACGATGTAATGTATCTCGTACTATGCGCGTCATGCTTCTACTGTTTCAACTACATGTTAGCATTTTAAACTAACCTGAATACATGTTAGTTTTTATATTTACTATGTCGCAGCAATTGAGGAACAGGGTGTAGAATAATTATAATATTTACACAGTAATGGATACAAAATCAATTACCCGGAAAAACATTTATTTACAGAAATATTACATGACCAGAGCTTAGGCTGATCAATAACCTGACACCACGAATTATATAGAACAATATCCAAAGTCTGATTAAACGAAAGAATTTAACACAGAGACGATATGAGTAGTTTTTTAATTCTTAAATTAATTGACTCAATTAAAAACGAAAAGTCCTGGCCTTCTTAGTTAGCGCATTCGCCCTTGTCGATGCGTGCTGCATGTTCAGGACCCGATACTCGAGAACAACATATATAATCTTGGGTATGGAGCCATGGTAGTGTATTAATTACACGTTGCATAACATGCAGTGCCCATCGATATGTATAGTGTATAGGGAACTTATATCAGGCAATGGCTTGTAATAATACAAACCAGAGTGTGGGATGATTCTGCAACGCGCTTAAATAGAATAATAGGTTGGGAGAGATTGGGGGAAAAATGAACGCAAAATTCATTGATTCTAACTGGAAGAGATGATCGATAATTGAAAACATAAAGATTATCAATTAATATTTATAAGCAGAACAAGCCCCTAGAATATATCTCTCAAAATAGATCCCTAGCTGTCACAGGGGACACGAAATTGTCGAGAGGATTAGTAAGGGGACGGGGAAAGCATAATCCCATATGCGGTTCAGTCGCCACCACAGGACCCTTCTCATCGGTAAACTCTAATAGAACAATCATAATGTGATGCTTAATTAATGCAACATTTCTTCTACATATTGGGACCATAAGTTATTCAGTGTCGGTGATGAACTGAGAAAAAACATCTGAAAGATGAATAAAACTTTACAAGTATTATTATTCACTGCAGTACTTGTGGTGTTCACAACACTAGATGTTTCGCCTTTACATTCCGTATAGTATGGAATACATTCAATAGTCCTCGGAATGCAATACACACGGGATAAAATATGCTGTACATTTTCGAAAGCTCTATAAGCGTTGTCCTATTTCCGAGGTTAGGAAATTAATTCGATCTTTTATGAATTTAAGACAGCCAATGCAGTGAGTATGGACTATCAACCATACACCCTAAAATATTCTGAAAATCATCTTGAACACGTGAAAAATTCATTATCCGCAACGTACGGAAGTGAATTCCTAATTCAGTAAATTTAGGACTCCGTCCTAAATAATTAAACTACGATTCGATAAAATTCAATAATCAATTCATGAAAAAAACTCAATCGAAAATAGTAACGAAATAGACTTAGCTGAAACATCTCTGCCAAAATCAGCATATAATAATATTGATTTAATTTAGTCGGTTAAAAATCGTAGTTATTTCTATTATGCATGCATGCAACGATTAAGTTCTCATTTCCTACAAAGATGGCAATCTTCAACACTGAATTGGTTATGTTCTACAGATAAGTTTTAAAGCATAATTTACACCACTGATTACTACCAGTTACTATTTACACAACATTCATGTATACAAGTTTCCACACAAAACCTCTAGATGAAAAAAATATGATCCGAGCAAGCTTGACGCGCTCACGAGTACGTCGCGCAATGAAGCCATATATGGCAGTGCTTTTCTATAAAATCCTCTACCTGTGAGCACAATGGAAGATAAAGACGCATAATAGGTCTAGAAAAATTCATCGATAGCCATTTTTATATACCGTCCCATTGTCGCACTAATAAATTTGAATAGGAAGCCAATTACACAAAGAAAAATTTACACATGATTAAAGGTGAAAAATTGGAAAACAAATGCAAAAATCGGATCCATAATTTGATGGTTTGATTCACAATAGGCAATTAAAAGATTGGCTGAAGATAGCATAACTGACCTTGAATAACTTATAATTCTTTGGCTATACTGCTCACTCGACAACATGTAGCGTCCATTGATCTCATTTCTGGAAAAATTAAATGTATTAAACGCTGTAACCTTCCTTCAAGATGGCGCACTCGATTTGCAAGAGAAACTCACAAGTCCATCATCATCACTTTTTAAATGGATAATCTCCACTCTCAACGACGGTTCATGTGCAAGCTTCAATGATATGTTATAATGCAATAGACATGCAACAATTGTCATCATGTATCCACAGGACGGTGGTCGGACAACATCGTCAGCGCAAGGAAATTGACAATCACTGCAAGAGTTGCTGTAATACATCAGAGCAAAATACGGATCTGTTAACTGAACATCCAAGCTCGAATGCAACCTATCAGCTCACTTGACAGTTGCAGAGCAATAATGTATTGTAAAACAATAACATACAATTGAATTCTTATTGTTAATAAAATTGAAAAATGCATCATTTTCAAAAGGGTTTACAAAAAATATGTTTTATTGTATTCAACTCATTAATATTCCAAATTATTATTATGTGTTTTAATACTGTTAACATTTAGAACTTAAATCTAGTAACATTGGTTCAATACTTACTAGGGTCTCAGCAAGATGACGAAGTAATTTCTTGCAGAGATTTAAATTCTTCAGAATTATAAATTGAAAATTCCTTGAATTTAACACAAATTCTCAAGTTGGATTACTGCACACGATTTGCAGACACTCGCTAAATATCGTGAACAATTCGAACATGGTAGCTTGAGCGGATTTATAGTACCTTTCCAGCTGCTGACGGCACAACAGTTAGCTTAAATTTACCTAAATACTGCTACTATATTGAATTTCGAAATCAATACAATGTTTCACCACTTTCGAAGTTTATCTCTGCTCAAGAAAACCAAAATTTATGAAACGATTCATCTCTCAAAATATACGGAGTTAACGAAAGTGACAACGAGAGAGTTATGGTCAGTTCCAGGTCCAATGCTTAAACAAAAAATTTCAGGCTGGTTTTTAAAAATACATCAAAAGTTATCAAATTTAAGCGTTTTTGATAAAGCAGATACCTATAATGAACCTAGAAGAAGAATCCTAAATTAAGAATTGAATCAAATAGGATCTAAGTCGGCATGTAAAAGAAATTTATTAATTTTCTTCTCCAGTAAAGTAAACTTTCGACATGTTTGATCATGAGACAAGAAAGGCTAGAAGCAGCAAGCGAGAGATGCTTTAAAGCTAATTGACTTTCGACTTGATAATTTAGACATGGTTGGCCCAGAACAATGAAAGATTTAAAATATATTTGGAGTTTGGGCGTATAAGATATGACACAAGATGCGAATGTCATTAGCGTTGCAACTTAAAAAATGGAACAAAAAAAATTCAAAATACGTGAGCTAACGAAAATGAAAAGTCAAGAAGGTTCTCATAATTTGATGTCGAGTGAGCCCGATATCGGAGGCTGCGTCTCTAATTATAGAAATTTTACGTCCCATCCTTTCCCTTTGGCTCGGTAAACCTAACAACTTTCAGGAATCACACACGCAGGCTGAATCCTCACAAATCTAGCGGCAGGCAGCCACTGATTGAAGGAAAGACTATACTTAGAAACTTATCCTAAGAAGTGTTTGGCTTTCATTACAAACTTTATAGTACGATTGGTTGAGAATTTCTTATAACGAAAAGTACTTCTGCTACAACAAACATGAGCCAGGTCGGAAAACTTTGCTCGAGTTCTTCAACAAAAACAAGGGTTTGTTTCAGCCAATTTATTCTATTGATAACATGGCAGCAAGGAAATTTTCTAATAACAAGTCGAAACGTTTAAAAAAAGTTTCATTTCAGAAAATTGAAAAAATGCCAAACAAAGAAAGCTAAAAAAATTTTTTTCAGTAATAAAAAATTTGTGCTTGGCTTAACTGAGAAGATGCGCTTATTGACAAGTAAGTTAGTTGATGTGCTAATTAATAATTCTTTGACATACCAAACTGAGGATAGATGAAAAACACGAAGAGAACAGTTCTTAAAAGCATTTAAAAAGGGTACTGAATATTTCAAACATTATTTCGGGACTTGAAAACTAAAGGCAATTGATTAAATATGTAGAAAGATCTTTTGTATATGTAATTAGTGAGATAGGTAAACAATTTTTTTAACTGAGAACGCATTCACGCGTAGAATGCTTAGCGGACGTACGTTTGTAAACCCCGCAAGCACGTGTAGGAAGTTGCACGTTCGCCGGATAAAGATAAAAAATTTCTACTATTTTATCGGGAGTTACTCAAAGAAGTGGAAATGTAACTAAAAAGCTCAACCAATTGTTTTGCTTTGCATGTGCAATGAGGCGATTCATGTTGTTGGCAGAACTTAATAAATTCGGCAGAACGTACGCCTACAACATGAACTGAATTTATATTTCAGACGTAGCGCGGTAAAACGCTAATGTAATTTAATATTTAAAAACTAAATTCACAAATTGGATTCAAAAATATCGTGATAAATTTTCCTTTCTTCTTAAAATTTCTCGCACAGTTCACGTACCATTACACTCTTTCTACTACACTCGCGTCATTATGCACTCGATCTATACACAATTAGCAATAAATCTTCCATTAATCATAATAAAGTCTTAAAATGATAGCTATGCTATTTCAATGTTAATTTTATGTAGTAACATGGCACTCGACCTTCTTCTGACAGTCATTCCAGCCAACTACAGTCTCTGGAAATTGCCCATTTCTGATCATAAATTGCAGCGCTTCAAATTTATCTTCTCCCGAAACTTCATCTACAAATTTAAATGTAAAATTGCTCGGAATAGACAATAATCATGCAGGAATTTCTAAATTGGCACCGCCCGCCCCTAATTGGGTCGAGGTCAACATGGGGAGCTGCGGGCCACGGCAGATGTGTATGTGTATCCCCGTTGCAAGCTTGTCGTATGCAAAGCTGCTATCAAGTGACTTCTCAAGCCAAGCCCATCAATGGAGATTTAATGAAGGCCATGAAGGATTACACGACCCAACTCGCTCATAAATAATTATAATAAAATCCGCCCTGAGCATAACCCGAAGATATGGATGGAGTTAGCAGCAACTTTAGCCTTAAAGGGAAACTTTTGTGAGCTTTCCAGAGCTGCTATAATGGGAGCGAGAGCGTCATACGTGTGACCAAGTTCTTGGGCTTCGACGGTCAGATAATAGAAAATTTATGGTATTTGACTCACTATTTACAATTCAAAATTTACGTTTGATTTCTCATGGTATTGATTGAGAGCATTTGGTTTGGTTCAAGTATTGATTGATGATGAACTTACTAATTGCTTCATCGAACGAAGTAGTTGACGTGGTATTTGTTCAGCGGCGCATGGTAGTTGTACGATGAAGTATTCACTTGAAGATCATGACAAAATATTTGTAAAGTGCGACAACTCAGTCGCGCATCCTGAGTGAAAGTATATCGATGGTGGGGGCAAACCCTGATTTTGTATGCCGCTTTTCCGCCCGTATACCTCGGTGTGTTTGCTTTGTTGTGTTTGAGAAAGATAAAAAACGTAATAATTTCGAAGTTAAGAAAACCTTTCACTCTGCCATAAATAATTTCTCGTCCTGTAAAGAACCATATTCCATAAACCTTAATTTCATGTCTTTAATTCGATGTCTCCTCAAAATGCATTTAATTAAATTTGTTGAGCAAAAATGCACCCAAAACACCGATAGAAGACAAATGCTAGCCACTAAAATGGAAACTTCAGACGAGTATATTCAGACACTAGAGAATGGTTCAAATGTATATCTGAAGCTTTCATTGAAGTTATATCCATGCAGAGGCTCCTCGAAACAGAAAGTTATTCTAGGAGGCTGACTGTAGCTTTTCCTCCCTATGCTGCTGCACTTTTGCATCAATTAGAATAGTATTCGTCAGTGCATTGTAAGCAAATGATGGGAAAGAATGGCTAGTGATCTTCACTTCTTATCACGACCGACAGGAAGACTATATAGGTCTGCAATAATGACGGCTCATATAGCGCGCCACTGTTAATTTAAGCTATAAATTCACATTTCACCTCCACCTACCAGTAGGAATTTGAGATCATTTTGGAAAAGGGAGATCATTTGTCCGCTTAAGCAGTACAAGTTTTCAAATTTAGTATAAAAAATTCCAGATTTGCATAGTCTACGATTTTTTTTTTGTCAGCTGAATTGCTCCAACATGTAAAGTTTGATGTGTGTCTAATAAAATAAAAATAAAATATTTAGCATTTATTTGTAAGTTGTACCGTCAATGGAACGAAGTTTAAATTTTACATGGAATAACTTCAAAACTCATATCGTATACCAAGTAATCCGTAAAAAATTAGCTGATTTTCTTGAATTCAGTTTATATATCCACTACTAGTACTATAAATTTTATCATCCTGTATTTAACAATCAATCCCAACTTATTCGTAGCCAAGCCATGACGAACGCTGCAGCGAGCAACGGATTACCGCGCTATCTTATCAAGAATAAATCCCCAGCGACGATAGCATCGAAACCGATAAAATAAAACTTATTTCAGCTTTAGTGGAATATTGCTGGAATTTTTATAGTAGATTGCATAAGATCCATCATCATATCCCATACATGATAGACGTCGCTTAGATACGGTCATCTGTCATGATATAGATGTCATTAATCCTGAATTACATGCAGAATGTTGACATTTTTTACCGATGTTATCAGCTTCGGTTGTAACTTCGCGCTTATTTTCGCGCCGGACGTTAATTTAAACTATAATTGTGTATAGTTTATTTGAATGCTTTTGCGCTGATGAACCGCCCACTCCACGCGAAATCGTGTTTGGGTGTGATTTGTGAATACCATTTACTACGAGTGTTAGGAAGGTGGCCTTCATCCGACATTGACGTGGATCTACATGGCATATAAGGAACTCAAACTACTTTTATTTCTGAGCTGAATGAATCGCTGTCAGTGACTGGATGACATTCATCTAAAATGAGACCCAGCCGATCAAGTCCATCCCCAGCCGATAACCCAGCCGATCAAGTCCGATCAAGTCCATCCAACAAACTTCTTGGACTAATCAGACGCTCATACGAGTTCCTAGATGCAGAAACGATGAAGCAGTTGTTTGTTGCCGTCGTACGACCGAGTCTAGAGTTTGGAAACGTTGTGTGGTCACCGAGATTCGAAAAGGACAGAAATTTAATAGAGAATGTTTAAAGACGTGCAACAAGGATGAAGGGCAAGTCCTATGAAGAAAGATTGAAGATTATGAAGCTTCCAAGCCTCAGTTATCGACGTCTGCGTGGGGACCTCATTGAAGTATACAAGTATACTCATGGTCTATAAAAGGTCCCTGAAGGGTTACTAGAATTTGAAACAAGAACCAACACCGGGGGCCACGGCTATAAGCTAAAAAAATTGCGCTGCAACTTCTCCACGCGACAAAATTTCTTCTCGCTTCGAACAACCGACATGTGGAACAGCCTCCCCGATGACATCGTTGGCGCTCCAAGCATGAACGCGTTCAAGAACAGACTAGATAAAGCTATGGAAAAATATATGTTCAGATTTGAAATGCCTAGCTCCTTATCGAACCCGGTGGAAGTCTAGTAGCTTCTTCAAACTATCGCCAGTCATGAAAAGATCCGGTCAAATGACACGAGTTTAGACCTATGAACAAGGCACGAAATGGAAAAGAATCGGCGACAGGCCACATCAGGCCTACACTTCAGAGCCGACATCACTATGTTATGTTATGTTAAGTGCCAGTTTAAAGTGTCAGAAATTTGCATTTTATCTAGTTTGGCTTCTAGGTCCCTATTTCAAGGTCTTAATCACCGTGTGATAAGGCCGGATTTTACAGGCGAGCTTCAAGGGTAAAATCAAGGGAACTGAATGCAACAGTACGAGATCAGGGCTAGCTGCGAAAAATAGCAATAGTACTTTTAAAAGCATACTGCAGTATTAAAAAGTTGGCACCCGTATCTTTTTCAAGATTCAGTAACACGGTTGACTGCAGTTTCATATGTAGTAAAATGTAGTGTTTATATTAGAATACACGTAGAGCAACTAACGAACAAGAGAGCAATCGCAAGAGTTCAATGTACCGAGCATTAACGAGCAGGCTGCATGCCAACAATTTGATACAGGCATCGCTTAGAATAAATACATTCACGTTTCCTAGAAAGGCTGCGATGTATTTCAGAGTCTCATAAAACGCGGATGCAAATATACACGCATGGCCATAAATTATGACACTGCTCATGAACAAACATTGACTTGCATAATATCAAGACGTTACTTGTAAGATCACTTGACAAATTAGAGGCACCTTACACCAGCCGAAATGTCCTACGCATTGTAAGGCACAGTTCAGGGAGAATCTGATGCACTCGCAATGCAGTTTCACTGCAGCCTCAAATACCACTAGGCGAGCGCTCTAGAGCACAGACTCGTTTCACGAGACCACCTCCGCCACCACCTGCCTCGTCTGCAGGTCCCGCATCACTGAGGTCTGAGGTGAGCGGCTGAGCGCAGACATGGTAAGCTGCTGTAATGTATCGCAAGCCTGAGGTGTCGCCCATCCCAATTGCAGAACCGAACTTTCTGGATATCTGACATCGTTTCCTATTTAAGAGAATTATTTTAATGCACATGAAAGTATTTTTACTTCCGTGCTGGTCTTGTTTAACGTTGATTAATGCTTACTTCAACCAGTCTAAAGTACGTCATCGCCAATTAATAAAATCGTGTGGAGCTCACATCAGGTTCATCAAAATGGAAATGACGCATAAAGACCGTGGTCACTTCGCTACAGTCCACTTTACTACGAGCGAAAACTTCAACGTGACTACTGTAAACTCAACATTGAATAAAATTTTACTTGTCATATCAGAATAATAATATGCACAACCACAACCATATTAACTATGAAATTAGTGTTTTAGGCACGCATCAAACTTTACATTCTATGCGCACTTTTCAATCCCCATGGCTCTTCCACGCACAACCTGAAGCAACACAGAGGCGTGTGTCATGGCCTCGAGGTAAGGATAAAACAAGCGAAGTAGCTGCATGAGAGATGTTCGTTGGTGCCTGCATAATGACTTCTTTGTGAATGAGTGCCCACCATCGACTGCTACGTATGAGCTACTCAGCATCTCCTGTTTTGAAGTTCATCCAGATTGATTCGATGTAGCTAAGCAGCCGCGCATGTTATGGCTGCGGGTCCAAGAACGGCAAAACTGTTCACTCGTGTAATGTCGTAGGATGAAGCTGTGGAACCAAGTTTTACGACGTGCCGCGTTCCGTTTTGGCGGTTGACAGCTTCATGTCGCGACCGTAAGTCTAAGATATTCCCTCGTCCGTAACTTGGATACCACAAGCAAACACCCGACATATGATAGCGACAAGTGATTGATAATTAGATTGATTCGAATAGAGATAAATTTATAGAATGCCATCAACTGGTGTTTTCTGAACAATGATAAACTAAAGCAGAGTATCTACATATGTTTGAATTGACCACCATGTATACGTGCAAGTTGGAGGGTATACGAGAATATATAAAAAACTGGCGGGGCAGGATCCGGCGCAAAGTGGCCATTGCTCGATTTCTGGATCATCCACTCAGTGGCGCTGGCAAAAAGTCTAGCCATAAATAAGAATTAAGGAGCCTGTTTACGAAACCCGCTACCATGTGCGACGTTACCAATGCGCAATTCACTTTACTTCAAAGCGTTATTTCTCTTGTGCCCGATATAAAATTATATTAATGTTTTTTCTCGAGTTGTTTGAATTTGTGGGTATAAGTTTGGTACGACCATGAAGTAACCATTCATTGAATAAAGCTCTGGCATCTCGTGACTAACACCATCGGCATTGAGTAGGCAATCAGCGAGTCTGCCTCTTTACTGTTGCAGGGCTAGGATCCGTCTTAAGAGTTCACGCAACAGGATGCTGAATGGACAGGACGTGTACTACGTAATATACGTTCGCGGTCTCAGGAGTGAATGCGCACTGCGATCAGAGTAATTTGTCTGCTATCATTGGACTGGCATGGCAAAAATAATCTGACAAATGTGTCAAAAGCTTGGTCAACAACTGCGAGGTTCAACTTCAACGGGGAGGTAAAGAATACGACTGATGTAGGAAGTATAATTTGTGAATTATAGTAAAAAACGTTATTACGTTTGCGGATTCCCAACGAACTCGCGATATAAACAAATTTTGTGAAGAACTGAGTTCACTCAAGATTCATTTCGATCAAACAAACAAAAATACAACAAGATTAATACAACAAGACAAAATACAACAAGAAACTAAGCACAAATATCCAAGATGGCACATATAGAAAATCACAACCCGACGATGACGAATAAAACAAACAGCAATAATCGTATATATAACAAAATTTATTGAATGCATTACGCACAATATTACAAATTACGACACGCACAGAGTTGAGGACGAATATAATTCTTCAATCTAACAAACTGAATTGTACAGGATAATAAGTTCGTGTGTTGAATGTGAAACGTAATTCTAAACTTCACCCTTATACGAATACAAACTGAAAATTAATACGGCACTAATTATCCTATGACACAACTCACATAACTAGAAGTAAGTGACTTGCGACAGATTTTCACCAAAATTTGTCATCGTGTGAAGTAGTTTAGGTAAGTGATGTTTAGCATCACTAGCTTATGATTATGTTAAGTTTCAAACGTCGCGAGCAAGGTAAAAGGTTTCTATTGTCACATTTTTTGACTCGGGAATCATTTATCCTTCACAGAGTATAGGAGGTCTCAGATACTAACGATTTCAGCGTTTAGTAGGCCGTAGGCCTGTCGCTGATTCTTAACATCGCAGAACCTTCACAGCACTTTGCGGTCTCGAACTGCTACAATTCTGCAACAACGCGCTGCTACAATTCTGCTGTGCTTAACCGCCCGGCCTCCTCGCCGATTCTGACCAGAAACTGGCGCACAGAGCTGGGATCGAACCCGCGCCTCTCTGCTCCAGTCCTAGTACTCTGAACTGTAACCACTGGGCCACCCTGTCACCCTGCCCATGGCAAGCATTTCTATCTGATGAATGTCAAAAAATTAAAAAGAAAAAACGCAAGCACGCGAACGAGAGATCGCGTACATGGGACGTCGGGCGCCCGATGGACAAGGGAAATGCGAGGTATGCTGGCTAAATAACTGAGACCCGCAGTCAGAGACAGCTGAGGGGTCCAGAGACCCGCAGTCAGAGACAGATGACGGGTCCAGAGACTCGCAGTCAGAGACAGCTGAAGGGTTCAGAGACCCCAGAATGCTCTGTGGGAAGGCGCTCAGGAAGAATGCACCAGGAACACACTTCCCATGGAGCTTCAGAGTAACTGTACACGTCAGAAGGTTCAGCGGTCGCATAACAATGACATCAGTCATAAAAACCTCAGCTAAGACAAAAAAAAAAAAAATTGTTTCCATAAAACTCGCACCTAAATCAAAGATGCTTTGATGAAATTAAGAAAATCAAAAGTGAACTACTTTTGAGTATCCCGACAGACATGGCTCATTCATATCACAGACGCCACACTCCGAAAACAATTGTGGTCGTTATAACAATAAATCACGTTCGGACTTAAGCAGGATGAAAATCCAGTCATCATGCTAAAATACCCTAAAACATACGAAACACATCCAAATTTATATAACATTTCAATCGGTGCGCACAAGGATTGCAATAGTCTTGCAGGATTTGCAATAATAAGGTAATATTTGTAACGTAGTCCTTCAATAAATTCCTGTACATAGATAATTCGCAACAGGGAGCACACATGGTCACGCAACGCAAGGCATAACATCAGCACAAAACGCAGGCTGTTCTGCAGAAATAATGTACATTCATGGCCAGCCTGGGGGAGACATATTGTAGATATGCCACATTCTACACCAACGTTAATATTTGGCAGCCAATGCGACAATGGCCACCATGGCTTGTTCACATGAACTCCATCCAAAGATGGCAACCAAGCACAAATCCGAATATAATACAAATAAATCAGGTGAAAATCACATAATTATCTTATTATATTATAGTTATAAAAATCACATTCACTCTTAGCAGTTCAGTAATAATTACAGAATTCAGTCTCTGTCGTATTCAATTTTCATTTTACTTTTCCAAAAGTAAAACACTGGCAGCATATCACATTCAGTAAGGCATCCCCATTTTTTGGTTCCATTGCGGTTATTTGATCTAATCATAATCCCTATAATGGAAGTAATGCACATAAATAATACTCTGAAAATTTTTATATCCCTATTCAATATGGCGAATTTACATAGCAAAAGCGACGTTAAATAAGTTATTAATTTTTTTGTGAATCTTCAGTTCACCAATAAATGAGCAATTTTCTTACAAATAGATAACATTCGCCGCAACCTGAAACGAGAATACAATTGAAATCAATTCATAGAAGATACATAGCGAGCTCCAGAAAGAAATATCACAAGTGAAACCACAAAATACTTGAGATAGAAAATAGTAATAAATATTTCTTCAGAAACTATTCTATGCTCTCAAAAATGTCGTGAAATTTTGTGCTCAAATCTAATCGATATATTTCATTGTTATGTAACAAGGAAATCAGCCCCTAGCACCATCAAGAGCTAACAATTTATTTGTTCGATTCAATTTGAAAAATGTTTAATGCAACCCATACTTGTCATAAAGGTCAAGGTTTTGCAGGAGCTTCATGATTACCTACAGCAAAACAGAAAAATCACAACATAGATTGTTATAAATAAATTAAATATACTACCTATATTACTTAAAGATGACTGCATAAAAATTATGTCTGATATTAAAGAGAACAGACGTCAAATAACGTATTACATGTAAACGACTCAAGGTACCGTAGTAAAATTACTAAATGTAAAGTGGAAGAAAATAAAAACAAATTAGGAAATGCTGTAAATTCAACAGAAAACATTCGAAATTTTCGAATTAAAATTATCAACAAATGTAGCAAGAAATTATCACCAAGTCTGAAATAAAATATAATTCATAAATTAAAATCAAATAAACTGTAGATTCTAGAAGTCTGAGGCACGACGCGATGTCGAGGATGCTTCAGTATGAAGCAGAGAACATCGCTTGCACTTTCATGCATTGATCAGGCTTTACAGCAAACACGCCTCCCTCATACTCAGTGATGACGCCGCCTTTAATTTTCACACTCCTCGGAAGAACTTCCCGGATCTCGCTCTCCAGACGCAGCAGCTGCAGCAAATCGAAGCCCGTAACGACGGCCGCGACGTTGGGTGCTACCGCCAGCGTGAGGTGTGCTCTTCGGCCTTCCCCAGTCTCGTCTACAAATGGAATATCATGAATTTTTCCTTTCATAAATTGAAGTCATATTTTTATTCGGCTGTATGAATGCTGCTGGCCGTATTTTTGAGAGGAATTGTATTTATTTCAAACATTTAAATTATTTACCATTACGCAAATAATTTTTCCACTCAATAAATTTTCAGCAAAATACAGATTAAAGACCGATAATAGGAAATTTTCCAGTATAGTTAATACTAAACAATATTTAGAACAGCTTGGGGCGCATGGCTTTTTTCACTCGAATATTTTTCACATTTGGCTAAATGATGATACTAAAAGTGAAGGCATGATTATGCAATAACTGAAAATTAAGATATTGTTTGTTGATGATAGGAACCACAAACCTTGAGCAGGTTGAGGCACTTGGTCACAGCTGATATCGACGAGCGTTTTCAGGCTGCCTTCATCGTCACAAAGTCGGGGTTTGCTGCTCGCTCGTTGCAGTATCCTGGCCATAACCTCCGTCTCTGTTATGCCTGCTATGTCATTTGGGGGAGACGTTCCTTCACTGAGCGATTCAACTCCAGCAAGCGGTGAACGGTCTTTTGCAGTCGCTGTTTTATCATTCGCTACTGGTGATGATTCATTTACAGCCATTGTTGTGTTACTAAAAGCAGACAATTCAGCTATAGCAGAATTTGATGATAAATTTCCCGCTCGTGACGACTTGATAGAAACACCGGAGTATTTATCCTTTTTCGGCAATGATAAATCACCCGCTGTACTTGGTGATAAATTTCCAGTAAATGATCCTTGAGATAAATCACCTGCGGCAGACCCTAATTCACTTCCACTAAGCAACAATTCACGGCCATTGGGCAACAAGACGCGCTGGTCGGGCTGAGCGGCGCGGTAGAGGCTGGCGAGAGCGTCTGGCATGTCGAGACCGTCGTCCTGTTGCCCCCACAGCGGCAGCAACGGCGGCTGCAGCAACACGCGCGCCCCTAGCGTGCGCGGTGTGATCACAAACCCCGTCACCTGGAACCGTAAAATGTTTCGCTTCAATATACAAAGTTAATAAAGTTAATTTTTGATACACCACGGTCAACTATGTATGATTTTCTAGCGGCAATTACTTTAGAATACGAGACAAGTAATAAAGTTACATGAAGAGACTCACAATTAAGGAATAAACGCGTCCGATATTCTTTTTTACTGCAGGCCTCTTGAGATATTCCTGCGCCCCAGGAGCCTTGCCCTTGCCCATAAACATGGCTGTGCAGTGCAGGCTTTGGAAGGCTCCATCACGGCCAGTGAAGCGGTAGTACTCGTGCGCTTCAGCCTCGCTAACTGTAAAATATTACTTCCATTTATACTGAGGTGTTTAAAAAAATATTTCTGTGACTCAAGTTTATCCAAAAGCTTGGGATGCTAAAAATAACATGAACTTATCACACGTGTATCATTTACAGAACTTCAAAGAGTTTGAAACACGATCATGTACATAAGTTACAGATGGTCAAGTTCCAGAGAAGAAAAAAAGCTAAACCGGCATAGCAAGTGGAACGAGCTTGTAGTCTTCAGGAGACAACCAACCTTTGACAAAGTTGGGAACCGTTAGAGTACAGCATCGTACCAGGCTCTCTCTGAATGGCGACACATTGAGTAGCTCCTTCAGGTAGTCAAATACCTGGTTCACCAGTATACACGAGTCATGAGGGTTCAGGAACCAACCAAAGAAGATTGGTTCATTTGCTTGATATTGAGCCAGCTGGAAGAACAAGACACATACAAATACTCAAGATGGTGAAAATAGGGGACAATTAAGGAACAAGGAACAATTTACAGCCATGCACCTTCAACGGAAAAACTTGTATTTGTCATGTGAAAAATTTATACCTACTGCAGAGCACAGTGAGCATGAATTAAAAAATTAAAAATACCTAAAGCTAATAAGAAATCATTACTCCTGTATGAATAGAAATTATCAACCATCATTGAAAAGTTATTCATTTTACAATGTAACGATGAAATATGAATACTCAAATAATTTTGATAGGCACAACAAGGAATATTTTTTGGCCCCATACCTAATAATAGGGATGAAATAAGACAGGCTGGGTGCTATTTATTATTATATATGACTAGGCTTTTCTTAGGCTTAAAATAGCATTGAACAGTGATGCAATTTTGCTAACTTAAAATCATAAGTTGCAACATTGAGAAAAATACATACAAGCTATCAACAAATCGCACCCTGTTAGCAATGCTAGAAGCCTCATTGCCATGAATGTTCTTCTGGGCTAAGATTTCAGGATCCTGGGCCCATGGAGTCTGTGGCTCCATGATGATCACTGTGTAGCAGTAATCTTTGGCCAGATTTGTGTACTTCTTGTACTCCCATAATTTGATGTTGGTGTTGTTGATGATGACCAGAGGCCTGTGAACAACTGACATCTCGTGCTTAGCAGTCTCATAGCAGAAGTTGTGGGCTTCCTTCAGAAGAGTTGGGTCAAATGCATAGCTATAAAAAGGGAGAAAAAATTATTAATGACAAAGATGCTTGTCCATACCCCAAATCTTGATTAAAAAAAGTATACATTGTACATTCATTCAAGAACAGTTGTATTACCACCCAGAACTTGCTTAATGAGTTTTTCTTGTCTCAAAATGGATGACCCAATAAAAATAATGAGGCTGCCACTCCTCACTTTCAATTGCCTCAAAACCAGCCAGATTTGATACCCCACTTGCTCAGCCAAGGCCGCAAGGCGCAGCTCTTATCAGGCCACTGTAGCTCTCAAACTAGCATAGCCATGAGAAGGTGACAGCCCATTTATGCCTTTGTTCTCCCTTCATAAGTTCATTAGCCCATTTGGCATTTCTCTTTCTTTTAGGCCTTACTATACTCCAGTGGTCCAGCCTCCACAAAATGAGCCAGCTGAGGCTCTGAGCCTGCTGAGGCTGCATGAGGCATAGCTCTTTCTATGCAGCAGAATTCTCAGCACCAAAAACCACATTTGCCTATAAGGATAAAGATTAAAGAATATGAAATGTTGTGGACATGAAAACTCACCTTCCATCAGGTTGGTTGAAGAAAAAATCAGCTGAGCATTCAATAGCATAATCTCCATAGATCTCAAGAAGTTTCGAAGCCAGTGTAGATTTGCCAGATCCTGATAAGCCCCGCATAATAACAGCAATCTGTGAAATAAAAATTTTAGCAGAATATTTATCTATATTTTTACAATTGGAAAAGGGTGGAAATACCAACAAACAGAAACAGTTGTGTATTACATCATTACATGATATCAAAGATATATTCAAAGCAATAAATTTAAGTTAACAAATTACCTTTGATTTAAGCACATAATCTATGGTGTTTTGATCCTTGATTATAGGGAAATCTTGGAAATCCTCAGTCTTGATTTTCTTTACAGACACAGTTTGGTCAGGAAACTTCTCAATTTTCTTTGGACATGAAGATTCTAAATTATCAATAAGGTGATCTTTAGGAACAACTTCAATATCAACAAGAGTTGCTTCATTGCAGGCCAGGTGATTTGAATAAATATGATCTTCATGTGCAATAGCAGAACTGTTTGCAACTCCTCCTACAGCTCGGTTGCGTTCATCTGGATCATCTTGCTCTTCAACTAAGATAACCCTTTGATCTACATAACATTTGTTAGCATCTTCTGTAGAAACGTCCAATGAAGCAACTTGAGAAGATTCACTCTCTTCAGATAATTTCCTCTTCCTGCCCAGTTTTGGACAATGGTCACGCAAACAACTGAATACCTGTCCCATTTTTACGGAAAGCAATTGGATTAACACAAAATTGCACTGTAGTTTTTTCAATCAAGCGGGAAGCGGTCTCGAACCAGTTCGTGATCCAGGTGAAGATAACAGCTTTATAAGTACGAGGCTACCACGAGGCCGGCAGCCATATTAGACTTGTGTCATCCTGTTGTTACTTATCTGGACACAAACGTTCTTGGTAAGGCCCAAATTCTTAGTAAACAAACGCATGTTTTCGCATTATATCTATAGATGCATCTTAGTTTATGTAATCTGTTAGGATTAAAACTTCATTAGTTCAAACATACCCGTTCAAGGTCCCTCTAACGACCGAATTTATTAGTGGATCTAAATTAGATGACTAGAATATCATGACGAGTAAATTATTCCGATTAGATGATAATTAGGCATTAAATTTCATTATTTGATCTTTTAAATCATAAAAACTGCATACTTTGAAAAATTCATTATTTGTGTCGAAATTGTTTTGAATTGTGACAACCAGGTGGCTAATTATTTTAGCTCCAAACATGCAAGTTCATACAATATGTTCTGACCTTAATTGGCAGTGAGATATTCGCCTTCAATCGTGAGGGCTATTGCGCCACTGTTTGCAAACTTTTTCGCATAAATATAGTGTTCAACTGTTCATGATCATGAATTTACAAAATTAATCAACTTTGTTATTTGTGTCCTACCGTAGTAATATGCATGTAGTATTGCTATTGAAACATCAGCTTGAAATTGGCAATTATCTTCTCTTCAAAATTCAGATGAGGAGTCCGTCAAATTGATGGTTTAATTTCTAGGTAGCTAGTTACCTAAACTATCCAGTATCCACCACAAATCCACGATGGGAAATCGCATTTTATTTTTTGAAATTTTTGTATTATTGGGCGTTAAATTGAGTTCCTGCTCAGGTAAGTTATGATTTTTAGAAAATTAGTTCTAAATGAGTAAAATGACTATAATTTAATAAACGAAGTAGGTACGCTTGGGTCCTCACTGACCAGAGTCCACAGTCAACTCACATCTAAGATCTAACTTTGATGTGAGTGGAGTCAGTGGACAGTGGACTCAGATGGGAGAATGAGGCAGAAATCAGGCAGCTGAAAACACCTTGGTAAAGCTGAAGAAATTATATAATTGAATAATTTCTTTTATTTCAATTTCAAAAAACTAATTAGGTATACTATACTTTTGGTCATTTCACTCATTTGGTCTAGGTATTCCTTGGAAGCAGTTCTTCAAATGTATAAAATGTAGGATGTAGGTATGAATAAATGTAGTATGTAGGTAGCTACTTCAAAAGTTGGGTTATTTTTCAGCAGAAACCAATGACCATGAATAAAAATTTCTACAAAAAAATCCCAAGTATGATGTAGAAGTTAGATTAGGCTATACCATCAAAAGCATATAACTTATAAGTTGCCACTTGGCAGCTACCTACTAGGCTACTAGGCTACTGCATGATTGCATCTGCACTCAACTTAGCCTACCACTTGTGGTTAAAGAATTGTATGGTCCAGTATGGATATTATCAGTATATACCTATACACATTTTTTCGGCGAAATAATAACTTCTCAGATATTATTAATAAATAATAATTAATATATATGCATAATACATGTATTTATAGGGTAAACGCGGTATATTCCGACACTTTAAGGACGCATCGAGAAATGAAAAACTATAAAAAAAAACTGTATGCGTTACGTAAGTTCTGTTGCCTTCACATGACTCTCAAAACACTTCACTACGCGTCAGCAACGATGAAACGTCACAAAATGTTGCCATATTTATTAAAAAGCCTTTAGAATGGAAACCTACCAAATCCCTATATTCCGTCATTTTGTGTGGCAACATCCGACACGTGGTGAGTAATATTGCGTCAGCGCTTCAAATTTAACTGATTCGTATTGCCGACATCCACGTGTTCGAATTCCGTTTGCTGTGTGAGCTGTATTGGGATACAACACGGCTTTGAATTAGAACAAATTCCGTTTGCTGTGTGAGCTGTATTGGGATACAACACGGCTTTGAATTAGAACACTAACGAATATTGAACACTACTTAATTACGTTTTAATTAACAGATATTAGGCTTTTAATTAAGCAAATTTCAATTTTTGTACAAAGCTTTGAACGATCTGTGTGTGTCCAATTCAAGTTGTGTCGGAATTAGTTTTCATGTGTCGAAATCCAACATCTCAACTTAATCATCTATTAATTTATTTACGACTTGAAATCAGCGAATACAAGTATACTTAAAGGATTCCTAATATATTCACAGACGTATTTAAAAGTCTCAAACCATAATATTCTTCCTATAAAAACAGTTATTCACTATTTGGTAGAGCCATGTCAACTGTCAAATTTGACACATTTTTCGATGATCTCACCACGTGGCATGCATTGTCTCTCTTTGGATCTCAATATTTTCCCGCTAGATGGCCAAGACCTAGTGTTTTTGCAGTATTTCGACACGCAAATGTATGACGTCACCATTTCAACCATCAATGAACGCATGGAACTAAAACAAAGCTTAATATAAAGGAAAAGCTGGAGAGGTGACGGAATTACCTACGATGTCGGAATATACCGCGTTTACCCTACATGACAATACAACTACAACACACTAATGTATGATATTCAATTGGGCAGAAACAACATTGGCTGGGATGGAATGTTCTTCATCATCACACTGCTCTGGAAATGGAACTTCTAAACCATACCTGCAGTGTATTAATGGCTATTGCCTCTGCAACCCTAAGATGGCACACTCTGTGTATGAGTACTTGGATCTACACACACAATCTAAAGTATCATGTCAAGGTTGGTTATGGCTGTTTAATGGATTTCCAATTTGCTGCACTGATATGTAATTTTTTAGGTTACTTACTGCCATAGTGGTTAACCAGTGATTTTTTAGAATCAGTTCATTTTTAATTTTCTCATCTACCTACTCAAGATTTAAACCAATATCTTAAGTATGATGATGCTGGTATCCATGATACTTTACTGGTCTACTCATAGGATTTGAAATTGAACTTGAAGGAGAGTCTAAAAAACTCTCTGCTTAGCCACTATGCTTACTACTGTTTATTACTACATTCAACATCAATGTGTACTTGAAATCAATCTGTTGCTTTTCCCTGTCAACGTCTTACTATTTGGTTTCTTATGTATTCATTTAACATGAATAAATGAAAGCCATTAGAAATACATAACCAATAAAAAAGTTCTAATTTGCATAATTTTTGTCAATCAACTTAGTTTGTAAGAATATCTGGTTAACTGCCAATCATTTATTATATATCATTTTATACATGCATATTTAACAAAAACTCCCATACATTTCACAGATAAATCCTTGAGCCGCATCTGTATTGGCATCTATCATGCAGATGACAGCTGTGCATGTTCTCCTGGCAAAGTTGCTTTTAGAGTTGCTGGCCATGTTGGCCACTGTGTCTCAGGTGAACGGCTACACTAGGCTGTTTTCTTATTTTTTTAAGCCACTAGCTTCTTATTTTTTTAAGTCACTTGCTTAATCTACTACCAGTCTATTGTTCTCTGCTGGAAAAATTGAATTATAGAAGAAAATGTAAATGGATGCAAGTGAATGAGAATTAGTTATTAATTGTTGCCAATTTGACCAGAACTGATTTTAATGTGCTTGTCCATAACTACACTTTTTTCAGAAGACAACTCGACTAGCAGTGGTTTTGGTCAATACTGTTCAGCAGTAATGACTGCGTGTGATGCAAGTCAAGGCCTGATGTGTCGCAATAGCAAGTGCTTCTGCCCCCGCGACTCTCATTACTTCAATATTACTCAGCAAAAATGTATCAGGAAGCTCACTTATTCTCTCACATATGGCCAGCCCTGTGCTGAAGACAGTAATGGGTGTGAAGACAGATTCACCTGTCTTAATGGGTGAGAATAGGTTTGTTGCTCTTTGAATTGGGCAAGTTATTGCTTTAGCTTTTCTTAAGTACCGTAAAATGGGGTAACTTTGACCACTTTTTTTTCAAAACGATGCCATTTTTTTACTAGATAATCGCCCCCCATTTGCAAACTATGACACTTTCCTAAAATTTGTATTTTGCATATGTAACTAGAAGAGTTCTACTACAATGCATCAAAACCTGGAGTTATTTTACCAAAAAATAAAAAAATTGGAGGGGGTACTCCGACAGGCTTTAAATAATAGCTCTTTTTCGTGGGTCACATTAATAATTTTTTAACCTATTAGATATGCAAACTTTTAATATCTTTCTATTGTGTTACGTAGCCTCAGTATTAGGCCTTTGATGGCCATTGACAACATTTTTTTATGTCAAATCGTTTTTGAGTTTTGGGGTTTTTTGTTAAAACAACGAAAAGTGGTCAAAGTTACCCTGCCGGTCAAAGTAACCCCATTTTACGGTATTTTAATGCAAACATTGTCATTCTGATTCTCGAATTCAAATATTGTCATTCTAGTTCCTCGTCACTGTCAATAAAAAAATTGCTTTAAGTAATCGTTTCTAGATCAGGATCTAGTGTTATTGTCTCTACTGATTTTAATTAGTATAACAATCGTCAAATACTATTTTGGTTTATAAATGACTATATTTTCATTAAAAAAATGTCCACATTTAAGGAAGTCATTTCCCGAATAAATAGGATTGGTATTCTAAGTGACTATATTTTCATTAAAAAAATGTCCAAATTTAAGGAAGTCATTTCCCGAATAAATAGGATTGGTATACTAAGTAAATTTTGGTTGAAAATACAGTTACACCCTCGATATGCATGTACCTGTATGAAAGTACTAATTAGAATGGTTGCTTTATAAGGATATGCCAGTGCCGAGAGTCATGCTCTACGTACCTGGGGACGGAAGGTGATCAGAACAAAGGCTGGCGGCTGCTGGTGTTCAAAATTGCACCTGCACTGTGCGTGCTACTGGTGGTTGTCATCATTGCGTGCGCAATATTTCGTCTTTCACACAGGTTAGAATTCATCAGCATTCTCTTACATTGATGCTTGTACTGGGCCTGTAGATGTGTACCTTGATCCCTAAGCTTTTACACAGTTCAATATATTTTTTGCAGTATTTTCATTCATGAAATTTGTTATTCCATGTTCTCATTTATTAGGTTTTATGCACTTCACTGTCCTTATGATTAATTTATGGCCAATCTAAAGTTAACTAGAACTAATCTAAACTAAACTAATCAATTTCTGTCTATGCTATCGTTATTCTTCTAAATAAAAACTATCAGAAAGGATCAAAGTAACCGAGTTGATACCAATATTATCTACATAAACTACTTCCAAGTGTTGTATATGTCTATTCTTTAGCCTTAGTCAGACTGCATAATCTTATGTCAAAATCGTATGAAGGGTCGTGTTTTTAGTGCTTATGCAGAGCAGCAAGAGTCGAATGGGTTGATTTTTATCTATGTACGTACTTTGAATTGCATTTTTAGCTATAGGTACTGTTTGACTTATAAATTTAAAATTTTTGACTTCTGAATAGTTTGATAGTAACATGTCAAACATTTGTGATGGGAGTGTTGAGGATATTAAACATCTAGGTATATGGAATTGAAGCTCTGCTTTTGTTCTTGTTTATTCATTACTTAGGGACAAGTACTCAATTATATACATGTATTGACGCTAAATTGAAGCATAACTTACAGTTGTCACAAGCGGATTAGAGAACCAACTGGCGACGGCACCTCCGTCCCCCTCCACAGACCCAGTGACCTCAACATGACTCGCTCTCCGTATGGCAGCCCTCTGAACAGCACTGCTCAAACTTGTGAGTTGAACTGCACTGCTCAAACCTGTGAGTTGAACAGCACTGCTCAAACCTGTGAGTTGAACAGCTCTGCTCTAACCTGTGAGTTGAACAGCACTGCTCTAACCTGTGAGTTGAACAGCACTGCTCTAACCTGTGAGTTGAACAGCACTGCTCTAACCTGTTAGTTGCCATGTAGTCGTGTGCTGGGTAGTAGGTACCTAGTTTTTATCTATGGTTTCAATGATTGTATCATGCAAAGCTTATTACTAGTATATAATAAGTGAACAGCTGTAATCATTGAGTTAGTATTGCACGGTAGAGACTAGCGAAAATAAAGATTAATAGTACCTCAATAATAGTTTTTTCAATACTCGTGACTAATAATTGATACAAAAGTAGCTGTCTCTCCTGAAAGTTTGCTGATAATTATTCTTGTAAGATTTTATTATATTATTGAGCGAATTAGTTGAAGTATTAGTACAAAATTTGTGCATAATTGTTTTGTGTGGAGAGGACTGTCAGATAATCGATAGTAGTTTAACCTTCATGCTTTAAAATTGTCATGCATGATAACATAGATCAGAAGTATATCATGTAAGGCTGAGGATAAAAATGTAGCAAGCTGATAGTTAGTTACATGAATCGGCAAAGATTCTTTTCTTATCCAAGAATATAACTTCTTAACTAATATTACGTAACTATTAGGTACAATTGTACCGGGTCAGCTGGTAACTATTATCTATCCCACCTGCTTGTTAACATTGTAAAATTATGCAATGAAATTAACTGGCTATAGATTTATAATAATTTTATCATGCATCAAAACATATCAAAATTGTATTGAAAACATAGTTGTGTTTATCAATTAATGAGATGAATTTTTCAGATATGAGCGACAGCTTCCTGGCGCCATCAGCTCCTGAGTTTGAAATCCCGGATGACGGTTAGTGGCCTCTATGAGCATCAAACTTAAATGTTATCAATGATATTCTGATCTATTGAGTTACATAGGTTGTTGTTGTGGTTCCCCAGTCTCATTTTTACAAGAGACCCCCCTCGCGCAAGTACGACACCACCGACAGGGGGTCGCTCCAGAGCTGTAGGGTCGAGGTTATGTGGTGGTGTTGTCTGAGGTCCTGCCAGAGCGGACATTCCAGAAGAATGTGAGTGATTGTGTGGGGAGCTCTCTGGCAGGATGGGCAGGTGTCTGTGTCTGCTTGGCCTATTCTGTTTGCGTGTGTTTGTAGTGAGGGGTGGTGGCCGCAGCGCAGACTGGCTAGGTGTACTCTCTCCAGTCTAGAGAGCTGTGTTTCTGTGCTGCTCATGTCAGGTGGTGAGTGTCCAAGGACTTTGTTGTTGCCGGCCAGCTCCAGCGTTCTAAGTGTCATAATTGTGTGTAAGTGTTTTGTCCAAGGACTTTGTTGTTGCCGGCCAGCTCCAGCGTTCTAAGTGTCATAATTGCGTGTGTTTTTTTTTTGTGCTGGTGTTGCATTGGGGTGGGGGTACTGTATCTATTATGTTGGTGTAGTATCTGTGTGTGGTTTGCACTATTTGTCTGTGTGTAGGTGGGCGGTCGCGTAGGTAGTGGCATGGGTGTTCTTTGTTGTTTATGGCTGCGGCTATGAATTGCGTTCCTCTCATGTCGAGGTGTGCTTTTATGGGAAGTATTTTTGTTTCTGCATAAAGGTGTTCGATGGGGGTGCTTTGTGTGCACCCTGTGACTATCCTGAGTGCTTTGTTTTGTAGTGTTTGGAGTTTCTGTATGTTTGTGTTGGATAGTGCGGGCGCCCAGGCGGGGCTGGCATAAGCCAGCACTGTTCTGATGAGCTGTTTGTATGTTGGTGCTAGTGTTTCTTTGTTTTTGCCGAATTTAGTACCTCCTAGGGCCCGAAGTGAGTTGAGTCTGATGTTTGCGTTGTTCACTATGTTGTTGTGAGGGCCGAATGTCATGGAGGTGTTGTAAGTGACCCCTAATATTTTTGTTTCGTGTGTGTGCGGGATGGCGGTGTTGTTTAATGTGATGTTTGGTCTGTATTGGTGCTCCTTTGTTTGGCTGGTCATTAATGTATTTGTGGATTTACTAGGAGCCACCTTGAGTCTGTTCAGTGTAAGCCATTGTGATATATTGGTGAGTGAGTGTTGAGATATGTTTGCGCTTGTTGAGTGCATATGTCTGCGGATGGGTGAGTGGATGTTGTTGTGACGTCGTCTGCGTAGGAGGCAATGTGGATGTTTGGAGGTGGTTCGGGTATGTCGTGCATGTATAGATTAAAGAGTGAGGGTGATAGGACGGAGCCCTGTGGGACTCCGTTGGGTATGAGTGATGTGTGTGATGTCTTGCCTGAGTAGTGTAGGTATGCTTGTCTGCCTGATAACTAGTCTGCCGATAATCCGAGTTACTTAGGTAGCTTCTGAGGAAGCACGGCGATCTAGTTGGAAATATAACCTAATAGGTACAGAAGCGCGTTGGAACTGACGAAGAATAAAATAATCATACGCTGTATATAATTAACATTAGGTGCGAGCATTTCTTGTCTTTGACATTTTCATAACTTGACTTCATTACTTCAAGTATCACCTCACTTTTAACTTTAATATTATCCCTAGCATTATTACTTCAATTTCCCTTCTGTCATGGCTTGCTGAATGTGCAGAATTGTTTATCCTCGTAGCAATCAATCGCTGAAATAATTATTTACAGTTAAAGGCCTTTCAGGCTGCGTTTGATCATAAGTTCTAATTCATGAGTTTTATTTTTAACGTTTGTCGCGGATTAAATTGGCATTTTTTATTCCTGAGTTCGCAACTTACAGGTATATTAGAAGTCGTTAACATTCATAATTAATGCCACTCACCTATGTCAATAATAGATGTAAACTTGGCCTAAAGTATAAATTAGGTAGGTATCAGGATAGAAATTCAAAATCAAGCTTATAAGAGACTGTGTTCATTTCATGTAGTACGGTAAGTGACTGAATGCGCTGTTCCAGTCGTAACTTTAGGAGCAACGTTTGTAGAAGTAACCTTCTCTCATTAAATTGTTCATATCATGACTGAATATTATCATACTAGATTTTAATTGTAGAAAATATTGGTGCTTGACAGTCCAATGTTCTGTTCAAACATGGGCCATCATGTAAATATTCTTGATGTATTATTGAATAATAAATTATTCCAAAAATTGTGTATTGGGCGTCGTAAGCAAAGAAACATCTGAGCATGTATCGACGATATACGGTATTCCATGTCGGGATCACACCTGAATCTTAAATTTTATTTTGAATGCTCGAATAATGAGAGTTTTTGGTTACATTCATTTTGTTATGTTTCTTTAGTACGTACATTTATATTATTTTTGTGTAGGAGATAAAGAAATTCAGCTTTCACTCTATCTTCGTAAAATAAGGCTAATTAAAAAGTGAAGTTGGATTTCAATAGGTCTTGTTTTTATTGAAACCACTCAAGTGTGAAAATTAGCTACAATATTCGAAATAACGGGAAACATTATGCCTGGCATCTCAGAAAATTGGCTGTATGCAGTGTAAACAACGACATTAAGATGTTGTGTGCCATCAACTTGTGCACCTGTGTTCTGAACATAGTGCAAAGTGTCCTGAACATTGTGCACCAGTGTGCTGAACATTGTGCACCAGTGTCCTGAACATTGTGCACCAGTGTGCTGAACATTGTGCACCAGTGTGCTGAACACTGTGCACCAGTGTCCTGAACATTGTGCACTTGTAGTGTTCTGAACATTGTGCACCAGTGTGCTGAACACTGTGCACCAGTGTGCTGAACATTGTGCACTTGTAGTGTTCTGAACATTGTGCACCAGTGTGCTGAACATTGTGCACCAGTGTTCTGGACATTGTGCACAAGTAGTGTTGTGAACATTGTGCACCGGTGTTCTGAATTGATTGTCTGTGGAATTGGTGAATTGTTCTGAATCGATTGGTGCTCTGAATTGATTGTGTTTTAATGTGTGCAGCTCCTCCGCCTTACGAAGAAGCCATCAAGGACTCGGCAGTGCGGTGATGAGGCTCTACCTGTCATGGTGGTGGTGGTGGTGTCACTCTTGTTAGTGATTTTGGCCACTTTTTGTATATGCTTCAAAATTTACAATAGGGAATTTTCACTAGGTGGCACTAAATGCGCGTTCTTTGATTTAGTTTAGCTTTGGATTATGATACGAGGTTCTTGCTCACGCTTGCTAGCCTTATTTTTATTGTATTTTGTACGTCATTTAGAGGTATGTACCTGTTGAGGAAGGCCATTGTTCTCGTGTTCTCGCTTTATAACGTCTTTCTTCCACTCAGTATTGTTGTGATAAGATTCACTCGAGTTCAGGGATTTCTTAAATTTTTATTTAAAAATGTGTTGGCTAGCGGTCACTTTGAATTTTTTCACAAGCATATTTTTTTGGTTTCAAAGCCAAGTATGAAAATACATAACATTCATAATTGGAAGTTATACAAATGTGTTCGCTTTAATTCATTGTACATCATTATTTTCATTAGTGCTAATGTGCTTTATTTTTCTATTATCTATTTAAAACTTTTATCTACTCAGTTCAAACATAAATTCTCTCTACAATTTATGTTAACCATCTAGTATAACCTTTCATTACATCATGGACGTACGTTGTGGAGTTTAAAGTTGTTTCTATGATTGGTATTTATCTGTTAGTTCTAAGGCGCTAGCTGGTAAAGAGTAGGCATTCTATTGCGTCGGTAGACACTCAACTTCACTTCGAGCTTCCCTCAAGTTTCTGTGCCTCCCAAATAGTCATGATCTGCATTTATAATTTTAAATTTTTTACATGACTGTGATGACAAATAACTCCGTTAGCGTTATTGCTTTTCCTTCTCTTGAGTTTACAAGATGGCGAGTAACTCACCCATTTATTTCTGTGATCTACAGCATCGTCTGAATAAGTTTATTTACAATAATATATTACGGTCCCCTAATGTAAGTAACAATTTCATTCTTTTCTTCTAACTCTGCCACGAATTCCCGACCTTTCCTCATCTTCAATTGTCAAACTTCCTAATTTCTGGAAATATCAACATTTTCTTGACATTCCCGCGATGGTAGAAATCACTGCCATTCACCAATAATTTCATGGTAATGATTGATTTGCCCTTTGAAGATGTCGAACTTGTTTTTCTTTCTTCTTCTTTTTATTTGAGTTTTCCTAAATATGCCTGAGATACATTATTTACGCTGTCTATATTATTATTACTATCATTCCTTAGGATCGAAACAATGTAATCATGACTATAACTTTCATGATTATAGAATCGTAGATATATTAGCGCATCAAGACAAATATTTTAGATACCTTTTCGGCTGTTAGAGGACTTCTGACGTGGGTCTATGTTGTCAGAAGTCCTCTCGTCGTGTGTCTGTCTGACTGCGGGTCTCAGTTGTGTAGTTAAGTTATTATGTAGGTAGGATTCCTTGCAGTAAGTTATTATGTAGGTAGGATTCCTTACATTTCCCTTCTCTGTCTCTCTCGTGCGGGCGGCCGACGTCCCGTCAAACGTCAAAGCGACGTCTTGTTAGAGGGTCTTAGTTTCTGTTGCTTTTCACCTGTCCCTCCTTGTCACTTCGTCTCTGTGAGATGCTAACGCTGCTTCTTTCGAGCCAGCTTCTGCGGGCTGGACATCTGACACCTTCGGCCCCTTGGGTTGATGAATAATAGAGACCTTCCACCTCGCTGGCGATGTTATCTTGTGACCTCCGGTGCGAAATAGCTTGATAGCTGAAGCGCGGTCAAACCATTCTACTGCTACTAATTTTCGGCTGTTATCTGTATATTTTTGATGTTTTTTATGTGAAAAATTGAAATTTGACGCCATCTTGAGTTATAAATTTGGTGTCTACGATTGTCATTCTTTTTCTGCTTTAATTCTGCTTTAAATACCAATACGTTGCAACGCACAGTACAGAGCTTTAGCAATAATTTAGCCGCCTTCTTGTGTTCCCAATGATTTGTATGTTGTGTCCAAGATGATCAGGCACAGTCTCAGATCAAGTTTGAGGTACAGTCTCAGATCAAGTTTGAAGTAGGTCGCAATTCCAGCAATAAATATACGGAAAAGTTTACTTCTACGCCATGTGTGAGAAATGTTCACCTGTGTTGTGATAATCACTCCTAAATGCTAGCATTTCTTTGTAATTCTCGATTTCTGACTCAAATCATGTGTAAGCTGACGATATTAGTGCAGGTGTACGAGAACAATTAATTTTTAAACGTTTTATTTAGAAATGATACAAACGCTGAGCTGCATGTCACAAAGCCGTTTCTGTATATTAAATTATACCTCCATTAATTAGGCCATGGCTAATCTTGATAACCGCGTGATACCGGCTTGCTTTCTGATGTTCAACGTTAGTTATTTTTATGATTGCCTTCAGGCAATGAACCTTAGACAATACGAGAGGCATTACTGGTTAGAGAATTATTTTAGTGTACGTGTTTCAAGCTTTTAATGCCAAAACACTTAGTATCAATAGCTAAGCTAAGTCAAAACACTTAGTATCAATAAATTACGACGTTATTGCTTCTTCAGTAGGAAATGCTGGCAAAAACACTACACTCCACAGCCGCGCAAACAACAGGCATGTTTAGTCTCTTATTGAGCAGTGCTTTCCATGTATTTTATAGTGAACGGGCAAGATCATTTTGCTCGTATTGTTGCTGTGCATGACGCGCTGTCGGAAATGCTTCATTGTTAAATGGTTGAATAATGAACTTGATCAGAACTAATCCATGTACATTTGTTGTTTTATCAAGAAATGTTCTATGTTCGTTGCAAGCGCCGTAATGCATGCAAGCATTTACTGCGAGCCTGGGCCTATACTTTCAAAAAAAGTTAAGAGATCGTAAGTTCATCAGCCAATCATTGACGGCCTTTCAAGCAAAATCCACCAATCATAGACAAGAAAATATTGCGTAAGTACTGACGTTCACATAGCGAGTTTTGAAAGTATGGCACCAGCTGATGTTTATTTACAACCTTCTCTTCTCATCGATACAAATATGCTGAATATTTATGAATTAAGACTCGCAAAAAAATGTAAATGCTCAACAGGTTCGCGATTTTTGCGCGTTATTCGTCGTTATTATTTGTAGCCTGTATAATACGCATTCTATTACTTATCTGCATTATAAGTTAAAAGACAGCATTTAAGTAACAAAAATAAGGAAGAGAGGAAATATTTGTCACGCTGTTAAGTATGCGCTTCCTATTCAATATGGTACACGTGTGTTCCCTATAATTTGAATTAGTTTGAATGCTTGGCTGTGCTCTAATGTACAGCCAAGAATATCCAGGTTGCTACGTATAAGCTACATGAATATAATGGCACATGAATTTCTTGTACCAAGCCTCTGAAAAGTCTTTCCTTGAACTCTGCTTTAGCTTAAGTGCAGTTTATACGCCGTTTTATTTTATGTAAATAATTTCTGGCCTTGGTTGCCACTCATATTTTTTACCTTTCATAAGATGCAATTTTTTTTAGTATTGTGTGTATTGATGTTGCATAGGAAAGTGATGGCATTCTCTAGAATTATGCTCGGCATTCTTTATAATTTCGAAGTCATAGCGCGTATCTTAGCTCGTGAGACACACTAAGAAAAATAAATTTGACGGTCTAAATGTTGATGCACTTTTCGCCCTTGTGTGGTTCATCCTTACCCAATTTCGTTTGGAAAAATCGTGTCACTGTTTCGTGTAGATATTGTGTCAATATTTGGACAATTTGACCCATTAATCTTTCTGAGAGTTGCGCCGCGTTAGGAGCACTGTTCCTGAGCGCCCTTCACAGAGCTCGCGGTGTTGGGGGTGAAGGGGGAGAAGCAACGAAAAGGGGGCAATCATTCTATAACCTTCCTGAATATTTAGTAAATTAAGACGGTTTAAGAAAACGCTTGTCTTTCCATTGCTTTACTCTAGGCTGAATTTTTTAATTTTTTAGTTTAATTATAAAGGTAGGATGAGTTGTACGTCTCTTTCATGTCTCTCCCGTACGGCTGGCCACAGGATGAGCGTCTTAATGTTGCTCTCCACTCGTCTTCTCGGTAGTCATGTTTACGTGACACCAATATTGCTGTTTTTATCGCTTGCTTCGTTAAGCTGGTCATTTGTTCCCTTGTGCCTGATGAATATATTAATGCGATTTATTTGGTATGCACCACATCTTCTACCTTGTTTGTGATGGTTACTTCTTCATATTTGGTGCCAGGTGGCCGCATGAATAATATTTTGTGTTCTCAATTAATATATGTACTTTTAATTTATATCTTGTTCCAAAGAGCTACTACTCCTGATGTAATCAAAATAACATAACTATCTAATGGGTATTGCGGCTTTGTGTCGTCATAAGTTCTCAATTTCATATCGCCGCGGATTATTAAAAAAAGGCATGCAATACATTCTTTTGTCAACAAATATAAGACTTACTTCGCTACTTATTGTTTTCTCGCTATTTCTTATTTACTGATGTTATTTCTCGTCTTCCCTTGCACGCCAACTGACGTCAAAGCGCAATGGCTAGGCTGAGATTCCCCTACTGTACGTAACTCTCCTATGGTTTGCCTAGGAAAATAAATGCTTTAACTCTCATGCAAAGTGACGTTAGGGAAATTTAGTTGAATGAATCATTTTTAAGTTAACTCAAAAGTGGCGTTTCATCATTTAGGATGTGAAATTATTTTGCGATTGTCATCTCTCATTAAGTAATTGGGGCTCCCGTCGTGCTGTGGACCAGGGCCTATACTTTCAAAAAAAGTTAAGAGATCGTAAGTTCAGTGCAACGTGTACAAGTTTGTATGTGACGTGTACAAATTGGTTAATTTGATCTTGGCATTCATTGGTATAAAGCTTAAGTCTTCTTTTGTATTTATGGTACAGAATTTTGGATTTTGCTGTGAGTCATCGATGAATATCTTGACGAATGCAGGCATTCGGTTGCAAAATGTTATATTGTTTCGGTGCAAATTTATCATCGCTTTGTACAACTGGTAATGAGCTCGTCGTAAATTAGGCAGCCTGTTCATGCGCTACTATTGTTTCAATAAATAAAATAGCTTAAACAAAGGTAACTTCATGTATGTAACAAGGGTCTAATACAGTAGAAGTCATCCTGTGTATCAAGTATACTACACAAACTAAACTTTGTGAGAAAAATGATGGAAATCATCCTTTCTCCCGAATGCAACCTAAATCATCCGAGTAACCTAATACCACCCAAATCTGCATGGTAATCAATTACCTAAGAAATCATCATTGTAAACTGATCATTGTAAACTGATGCACATCTTCTGCAAACAGAAATAAAAAATATCATTGTGGCGTAAATACGCCGAAAATCTCTTTGTGCGCAGAACAACACAGAAATATCAATGAAACGCAACACAAATTTCATGTGGTCCGAATACAACATACATATTTGTTTGTACCGCATTAATAATATTATTGTTGTTAATATTGTTATTTATTATTCTTTCGCCCAACGTAGAGTAAATTGAGTAGCATATCATAATTTATGGTATCACACTTGCCCATACGCTCCCTCTGACTTATTATTATTAGTATTATAATTAAACTTGTTGATGTTCTGCCAAATTCCTACATCTTAATCTCTTATACTCAGTCATGATATTTTAAAAGTTAATGATTTTTTCCCGTGAGTTTAATTAATAATCATTTTAATGTTGCACTCTATCTTTGTAGCTGTAATTCTTTACTGAATCATGATATTTTAGATGTTAATGAATGTTTTTACCCGTGCATTCAATTCACGTTCATTCATGCGACCTGATGGTCTGCTCAGTTGTTCTTTATGTAGAAAATTGCTCTCCTCTGTGTCGTTCATAGTAAATAAATATGAATATATGCGTATTTTTGTGTTTTCACCAAAAATTCTGAAATTTAACTTGGAAAAATTTTCGATTCCTGCTCGAGTTAAATTTCATTAAAGAGGAACAATAGAATTTCTGTTCGCGTTCAACGCGAGATTTAAGTAAAACAGCTTTAGTTTCGAGCCCTTGTTACACGGTATTTGCGTGTAACACTGACATTATTAATCGCGTTCAATGCGATCAAAATGAATATATAAGTTTCTTAACAGTGTTCAATGTAACTGAAGGCTAACAATTTATGAAAAAACAAAACAGTATATGCTTGCGTTTGAAGCGGAGCTGGGTTAAATTCCTGCGTTCCATTTAAATAACTGTACTCAATGGAAATTGTGTTCGCTTTAAATCAGATTTAACTGTAAGAATTTAATTTGGTTCTGCCGTTAATGTAATCAAACGAAAACAAATTCAATCAAACTGGGGTTAATGAGGCTGAAGAAAAATGATGTACATGGCGCGTAGTTAAAACGGCTATTATCACGTCATAAGTTTCATGCACGATTTATACTGATTGAATTATGCAGTCTTGTATCATTCGTGAACGTGCATACATGGAGGAAAGACATGCTAGCAACGCGTGTGTGCTGTGTAGGTGCGTGACTGTGAGTGTGTGGGCTTCTGTGTGATTTTACTCAAGTTTGCTCGATCGTTTACCGGTTTTTGTGTGCTGGTGGGTAAACGAAAGATCCTTAAAATGAAGTCACATATATGAACATTTAATTCGTAATGTGTTTTTTTCATGTGTACGTATATTTTATTTGTGTGTGTGCGCGCATTAATGTTTGTTGCGGTACGTGTATCGTCATGTACGTGCATGTGTGCGCATGTAAGTGCGTTCGTGTGTACGTGCGGGGTTCTGGAGAACAGCGCTGTAGCCGCCCTAGTCCAGGACCGCGTTCAAGTGAGCAGATTTAGGCGCAGGAACTCGAGTAATTTGGACGTGTGCTTGAATAAAAGTTCACATCTTATACGGAGAAAAATCAGTAACCTGATAAATAACATAAATTAAGGGGTGAAATGCGATGAAAAACTTATTACTAAAGTCATGTGGTTGAAGAGTGTGAAATACGGAAAGGAAATGTGGCATCAGCTTCTCGCGCAGATGTGGGGCTCTGCGCTAATCTGTAATTATCTCACAGACTTCATTTCTCTCAGCAGTGGTCAAATATCTTCAAAATTTTTCGTTAGGTGAGATCCCAAATCAACACAGTCTTAGCTTACAATCGCTTACGCGGTAAAAAAAACATCTGCGAAAGGAAATTTGGCCTGAAGAGATTTTGAGTGGTTTAGAATATTTCTGGAATGCGAGCGTCAGGTTGCGACATTTTGCTCCTCTTTTGTTCCTGAAAAGTTTGACACAACTCCGCTGCTGGGCATGAATACTGCACTCAGGTGCCCATACGTTGCTCGTGAGTTCATCATGGCTTGTATGTGAGCTGTCCTTAGCACCGTGATCAGTAGGGGCTCTTGGCAACTGACAGATAAGAAGAAGCAGAGGCATTGACAAGAATGATCTCTGCAAAAAGTGTGACATTCAAGACCAGAGGCAGGGCACTCACAAATAACACCAACATCGTTAGCACCGAGTGAATTGTGAACTCAAATTTAAAAGTAAGACTTGCATGATTAAGTTGAAAGTAAGATATAATGATTAGAGGTAGGATTCTCTATGTTGCAATTATTTTGGGGAATAACACTTGATTTAATTTCGGTTTATGTTTCTATGGCTTATAGCATAAATTGATACGTATTCTTTAGAGCTCCTTCGCGTGACATCATGAATTATTATTTAATTAGGCCACACTTTAACATATCTGACGCTATCACAATTGTCTCTACTTTTAATTCTAGAACTAAAAATATTTTTTGAGCAGGTTCAGGGCACTTTTTAGGTGCATGTCAGACGACCGCAGGAGCCTACAGATCAGCAAAAGCAAGATGGCGACGGTGGTAAGCTGTGCATGAGTGTTGTGCTCATGAAGTGAAACAGTTGAGTGTGTTACAAGTGAATATCAATTGTAAAATATAGAACATGTTGTGGCTAAAGTGCTCCATCAAGGACACAGAAGATGACTTCAAAGGATAAAGTTTCGGTAAGTTCATTCAAGGCTTGTGACTGAGAAAATAGCAATCGCTGTGATGAGAGGCCGGGTCTTGCTCTGGCATCTCGCATTCCTCAAGGAGCCTGCCCGCTTCCTTAAAATTATCCCATCGTAATGAAACTTTGCCGCTTACTTCAAGATGTTTTAACCGTACCACAATTGTATTTATAGTTTACACCATTGTTACTTTACTTATGAGAGCTGTTTGCTGTGTGGGATTGGCCTACGGTACGTCTCTTCTAAAGTTCAACTCGTCACTTATCTTTAAATCTTTCGTTTATACCGACAAATCAAAATGCTATTAAGATCCAAATTTCTCACAGCGATTGTTATTTATATAACTGATATAAACTGAACTAATATAAATTACCTGAACAGCATTCAATATGATTGAAATCATTACTCGATATATATCGCTACTTTTACTCATTAAACTTTAATGTTGGCTTAACTTATTATTTGGCTGGGTAGAAATTACATTGTATCCAGCAGAAGATTTATCCAGCTTCTAAGCCCAAAGGTACAGCAATTAGTGTTATACAATCCTTATGCTTTGTTCAGTGTTCATAAATTGTATATTGAAGCGCTATTTAGAGGACAATTTTCTTATAATATTATTGACTGAATTAACTGGAAAATAAGTTTGAAAACTAGCAAAGAAATTCTGGAAAAGGAGCTTTGCCAATGTGCACTTATATTTTTCGGTATATGTACAGTCCACGAAAGGCTTTTACATCTTTGCATTGAAAGTGTTATCAATTTGTGGTTTCGCTCCATTAAGTATGTTGCGAATCTAAAATTGGATATATGGCATCCCAATACTTATGAGTATAAAGAATGTGTTTTCTAAATTATACCCAATACTATAATTATAGTATTTTTACCCAATTCGTGTACAGTGACTCTTTTGAAAATGTGTTCATATTAATCGAATCTTCAGAAGTCGCATCATGCATGCTTCAAACAGAATGCATATTTTTTGCGTAAACAAGCAACGTCCACATTCATTGTACAGATCCAATAAAAAATTCTGTTTTATTGTAACTTTTTCGCTCATGTAACTCGCGTGTCATTTTTGAAACGCGATGAAAGATTTCGGGTAGTTACGTGCTATCGTCTTGCCTTCACCGTACATTTATTAACCTTAATAATGAATGAACTTATGAACTCTTATTAATCGTAATTATGAATGATCTCTTGAACTCTTATTAATCATAATTATGAATAAGCTCTTGGACTCTTATAAATCGCAATCATCATCGTTCTAATTCGCCTAAGTAACGTGGCGAAAAATCAATCGATTTTTCAGTGTAATCTGGTCACATTCCCCGTTAGTGCATTTTGACCACATTCCGCGTTAGTGCTCACTGATCACATACCGCGTTAGTGTACTCTGATCACATTTAGTTGGCGGTCTGCGTTGGTTAAAAAAAAATATAACTCAGTACTCACTGCAGTGAGTGACAGAGAGCGCATTTTCTCATCGACGAAAACTTGAGGTCACGGACAGACGGACGGACAGACAGACGGACAGACATGGCGAGCACAATAGAGCATTTTTTCCTAAATGAGAAAATACGCTAATAAGTTAAATCCGAAACTTGTACTCTCTCGAGCGCGATTATTGAATAATTATTTCTGAAGAGTGAATATTTTTCATTAATAACTAATCGTTGATATAAGCACTTACTATCTATTTGTGATGTGCAATATCTAATAAGTCTCGCCTTCAGCCAAGTTAGCCGTAAAGGATAACTAGTCACTGCGCGTTGAGATCGCCGTGTAGATGCGCTCACAATGCATCAGTGGGCTACTGGGCTACTAACCACAAACAAATGATTGATGTGCAATTTAAATTAGAAGTAAATCAGTTCATTATATTTGAAACTCGCAAAATGTTTGTGCACATTTCGAATGAATAATCAAATAGATCGATGTCTGCTTCCGAGAATTGTGTTTGTCTTATTTCCGTATGAAATTTCGAATTTTCATTCTGTTCTCTCGTTATTCGTGGGCGTAAGATCTTTCAACTGACTCAAACTAACTGTCTAATTAAATCAAAACTAACTGCTGTAAAATTGTTGATTAAGTACATACGAAAAATTTATTAAGTTACGCGAATTATTTCGTTACTCTTACTTGAATTGATTCTATTCAATTTTTCTTTATTTCAGCGATTTGTCTGATTTTTATCAACAGCCGTATCACAATTTGAAACTTTGGCTAAGTGCAACTGTTTTAATATTAATTAACACTACCAGCGATTTATATTTGAATTTTTCTGAACAAAATTTTTCGTTTGCCTTGTTAACGGAAGTATCCCGCTTCATTTTATTTTAGTTTAGGACGCCAAAAGTTTATTCTAAATAGCATTAGAACGTCAGGCAGTTAGCAATTGCAGTGAGAGGGCAGAGGGCAGAGGCTGCTTATAGCTGCGACTCAGGCTGGAAGTAGAGTCACCTGTTCGCAGTCAGTGTCAAATTGAGCGTGGGTGGGGCAGGTCGTGCCCGCAGCTCGTGCCAATGCTGAACTGAGTTGTGGTGTCAACATTCCGCGCTATACAAGATCACTCTAGGCCGTTTCAATAAAATGATGGTGTGCTGTGCTCAACAGCTCATTGGTATGCTGGTCTACCGGTATCTTTTGTGTAAGACAGGCCATGGTGGTCAAAAGAAACTTGAGGTGGTCTGGAACTATGGCGTTGACAAGGCGAAGTCGCGCCTGATTGTATGACATTCCTGGGGCTAGCTTTTGTCACCAACCAAGATGGACGGCGACAGTCCCGTCCTCTGGGCTCACCTTATAACCAATTGCACGCGTGCTTTAGCGCCTCTGCTGCATTCTCGAACTCGTGCATTTGTCCGGTATTCTTGCTGTTTATCCCGCAATTATTTTTTGCCGAGGCTGGGATCGTAACAATTGAAAACGAATTTAAACGAAACGTAACAATTGGCAACAAATTGATCTCGTGTTTTTTTCCTACCGTGCATCTTAGTCTATTGACCGGAACGATTTCGTTACCGCAGAAATTTTAATGCGTATGCGACGATGGTAAGTGCAACTCTGCAAATGATTCGAATCAGGCCTCAGCATTTGCTCCTCATTAATAGGCCATTGATATAAAACTCACATCGTCTTCCTCCCGGTGTTGCATCTCTTAAGTTCTTGGTCGTCCTGGGTAACACATCTCAGGTATTGCATTACTCAGGCTTGCAATACCTGATCAAGGGACAGAATGAACTGCAGGCCCGCTCAACGGCCTTCCCTACGTTTCTCAACAGCTTTCTTTACAACATCTCCTATAGCCTCTTCTATAGCCTCTTCTTGCATTGAATACTTAAATTTCCTCGCTCTTGTTTGTATTGCTGTCTTACCTGTAAATCCAATATCGTGGATCTCATTGGCGGACGACCATGCCAGAGGCATGGTGTCATAGGACTCGAGAGGTTTAGGACTCGGCTTGAGTCCTCTAATGAGCAAATTATCTCTTGATGTTGTTTCAGCAGAGAAATCAAATTAACAATTTTTGAAGATTATATTACAGCAAAGCTGGGAAATTCAGTAAAATATATCCACTGTATATATTGTGTGCTTCTTGTTTATTTGCGTGTTCGTTTCGATTAAACTTTAAAATAATACATTTTTTTACAGTCTAAAAGCTAATGCTCTCTGACAGACATGAACCACTATAATATATTGTTTCATCAAGAAGCGGGATCCCAGCACACAATAATAATTATTGTGAATTCAGGAGGGGTAATATATGAACAAGTGCCCATGTCATATTGGAACTAAAAATCGCATACTATATTTCTTTTTATAATTAACTGATATTCTAGAAATGATTGAATTACTAGGCTGGATTAATTTTAAATATATGAACCATCAATCCTAAAATTCCACCTTGGCATACATGACTCGGCCTAAGTGATAACAATGAGTCTTTTTCATTAAGTGTAATTATTAAAACTGACCAGTGTCTGTGAAAATGACAGTGTACACATCAAACCAATGTTCCAGTGTACTAAAGTTCATATTTATCATATTTAACCTTCTATCGCCGTATGTCACTCTCTCGGAACATAACTTTCAACCTAGATTATACGTGAACTATTTAGTGTAGCAACCTGAGGACGTTTGTACGCAACAGAGAACATTTTAAAGTTGTACGTGGCGGCAACCATCAGTGCAAGTCATTTTGCGCTCACTAACGTATCCTTTTTGAGAAGTAAGCTTGTGACAATATTACTCCGGTTACTGATGTCAGGCGGTAGAGGGTTAAATCGATTAGTACCCGTGGTAATTTACAACGATTTATGCCTAGTTGAATCTGGAAGTCAGACTTGCGATTTTAGGAGACTAGACGCATTAGCCTCGATGTTAATGTTTATAAAATTATTTCTTTAGAAGCTCAACTGATCTTGTCTTTCAGTGAACAATAAAATGGTCGACTGCAAATGGTCTGACCTTAATATCAGTTAAAATAATGTTTTTTCAACTGTTTAACAGTTTTCTTCACCTGCGCATGCAACAGTTTTATCTTTAACAAGTTCAATTGCAAGACATCACTAGACAGAAACGAGTCGGTGAGTTCTGTCGATATTTTGATAGCCTCAGATAACCTACCGATATTGCTGAGCACGAATCAGTGAGGTGGCAGATTAGGGGCGTGGTATCGGCGGCCATGCCCTGCCTTCTGCATGGAGCTCGCTAGCGCTGCTCTTATAGTTTATTGGGCCTAATTTGATCTAATTGTTACTCCGCTAACTGACGTCTTCAATCGATTACATTTAACCTAATTGTTGCCCATAGCATCATTGATAGTTTTGCTTTCTCTCTCTATTCTTGGGTGCTCGTATAAGCTGTCCAGGCTGAGAGATTTATATTTATTGCTCTTTTGCCCGAGTTTCTTATTGGTCACTAACTTGACGCGTTCTTTTTTCTCTTGTAATGTAGTTTCCCAACAAACCTTCCCGACACAGCGACTGAGA